GGAAAATTATAATACCTTGCAGTAATATACATGCCATTTGCCGGAAATTCATTATTTTCCTGCTTTTATGTGTTTTGTTAACAATCCATGTGATGCTTCTAATCGATGTGTAACTCACAGCCGATCGCCGACGGAATCGCCAAGACGGTTACGGAAGAAGCAGTGATGGAAGCAGCGAAGGAGGTCCAACTAAGCTTTTCGTGCTTTGCTTTGTGTTTCATGCACTAATTGTCCTCTATTGCCTAATATCACGTGCATGGCTTACGCGACGGGCAGGCAGGCTCTTTTTGTACATGAGAAGGCGATACCATAGCTTAAAGATTACCGGAACTTTGATTACCGTATTGAAGCGTATTCAACAGCGTGCTCAGCTTTCGTACGAAATTGTAATGCTAGTTCAATTGAGTCTTTAAGTCTGGTATTAGTTCTTGGCCTGGGAAGGATGGATTTTTTTCCATATCTGAGGCAGCAAGGGGTGTGGCTGTGATGTTCTAAACGACAGAGACACAGAATTATGTATAAGAGGGTTTTGGTAGGGGATTCACGCAACCGTCACTGGAACGCCTCTTTTCTCCGGTGATATGGACGATACCTTCCAGGCCCAGGTGACATTAGTCCTCGAGGTTGTACAATCAGGGGGGGGGGACGTGAAGTGACCCATCGCCCTTTCAGTCATAGAGAGCCTTCGGTCGCTCGCCTTCCAACCTGGTACAATATGAGTAACGCCCTTTCACTTCACAACTACCGCCTCCAAAATAATCCTGGCCAGCCTGCCCGTCCCCCTCTTTTTCTTTCTAGATTAAATACTATTTTATTTTTTCTAAAGATCTAAACGTTCTAGCAAGCGGCCAGTTCAAAAGTTGCTGGAGCAGTTGATGAGGTTGCCGGCGCGGAAGTACCAGAGGTGGGTAGATTTGGCCGTGGTGCTCCATTAGTGCTCAGTATAGATCAGGTCTAAGCTTGTATCGCTTCCACAACTGGAAGCACAACCTCCTACCGATTAGGGAGATTAGGTCAAAAAAAACCAAACTGAACCACCTGCAAGCTGATTTGTAGTAACTAGAAGGGGTTTGGATTGGTCGTGGTGACCGGAAAGGATCAGGCTGGCTCAGAAGGTCTAACAGAGCAGTTAATTCAAGGCGCCATTCGGAGTGTCGGTAATGGGCTCAGATATTTACGGCACTCATATCGGAGGTGGAGAGGGCGTGACTGCGCACTTCATTTGAAACGGCGGCGATGGCTTGCGTTTCTAATGCGGCTGCTTGGCCGCTTTCTTGAGTGAACTGCAGTTCTTGGTGCAAGGAAACAAATCCTCAAACATCCTCTCCATTGCTTGTCGGGGGTTTGGAGTGTAATCTGGCCCAGCTGAGAGTGAGAAGAAGCAAGCATAAAGTCAGACCCCCAGAAGAATCCCTTCTGCGGTATACTCGAGCAGTATGCGAAGATTTATTAATCATTTGCGACCAAAGCCATATAGAAGGGGTTAGAAGAGTGCCCCGGACGATGTGGGGCCGGGTTTTGTGTTTACTAGTAATGGTGGATAATAGGTAAAGAGCTTTTCTTCTTTATGCAAAGGGGGCCGAGGGACAGCTCATAAGGCATAAGCCGTAAGCTGCCTTTGCTAACGCACTTATTCGCATTCTCGAAAAGATTAGGGGACCGGCCGTCTACGTGGCCAAGGACAAATCATTTCATGCAGCGGGATTTCAGTGAGTTTTTCGTTTTTTTTAAAGGAAATTTCCCCCTTTATTTAGGGGATGTTATTAACCCCCCCCCAATCTGGTTCTCTCAAACGAGAAGAACCGCGAGGACAAAACCGACCCCCTCCTCTTGCCACCATTCGTTACCACTTCATATATTTTTTCCCATTGTCCATGCCACTTTTTTTCCGAAATTTTCCTAAATTACCACACAAAAACTTTGCTGTCGAGCGGGGGAAGGGAAAGGGAGGTTGCCAGGGTACAAACACGAAACAGGAAATGTCAGCAAAACCTTTCTTCAAGAAAGGAATCAGGAGGGAAGCTACGGACCCCCACCCCCCCTTTCCAGACGTCTCGTAGAAACAAGAAAAAAATCTACAATCAAAAGAAAACTTCATCAGCCCCAGTAGGCCCCCCTCTCCGCAGGCGGACCAAACAGAACCCCCCCCCTTTTCCTTTGTTTTGAATCTCCAATAAAGGGAGGTTTTGTTTGGAAAAGGAATGGTGCTGGCCCTAAGGCCTGGCCTCTACTCTGTTGCAAAACCAGGCCTTGACCGCCACTGCCGATTTCCGAAAATCTTAAAAAAAAAGCCACGACCTGCGCGACTACTTGGCTAGACGAGAAATTTACCATTTATATTCGGCTTTTAGTGCTTTTCAAAACACGGACTCGATTTTCGTTTCTTTCGCAGTTCAGCGCTTCTGTAAGCTTTTATGCATAAGGTGGCCCACAGCTTTTCTACAGCTTCATTATAAAGAAATTAGTTATGCTCCCCGTTAAGTTGCTGCCTTGTAGTACTACAAGTTTCACACCGCTTCCACCCGCGCACGTATTTGTGGTCCGCTTCGCGTCGCGACAGCACGCGTCCAAGACCTGCTAGTTGGTAGAAAGATAAGATCAGAGTGTATCGATACCAAACGTAAACTATTTTTTAACAGGAGTTTTGAAGAGGCAATATCTAACTATTTTGGTGAGTTTTTGAATGTTAATTCATGTACTACTATAGAAAAGCATCCAATAGAATTACTACGAGTAGCTGTATAAAATATAGACGCTATGGCGCTACAGTGTGTTCTTCGTGATACGGTAGACTCGGCTCCCATGCCTATGCCCCACCCTGTGCTCAAACCCCGGAGTATCAGCGTCTGGCCATAGCCAACCTGCCCCGGAGGGTGGTCCGTTGAGCCCACTTGAAGATGGCAAAATCAAATTTTGCCGGGTAAAAGTCGATTTTTCAGGGATCAACGTCGCAAGAATCAAAGAAAACTGACACACTTCGTTCAACGAGAGGTACCACAGAGACGAAGAGGCGGTGCACAATCCTCTAAGTCATTCAGTCATCCCGGTTATCCCATTGATTTTCCTCTTTTTTGCTTTCTCTATTTTTTTCGCTCGTTCTTCCGTCATATTAATTATGCCTTCACAAAAAGCTGCTACTTCTAGCGAATTCTGCTTTCCAAATGTTTACACCTCCATCTTGTTAAGGACACTTTCTGCAATAGTCGATTGAGCGGGCGGAGAGATAGGCGGAATTTCATAGCTGCCGCTCCTTTATGCGAACTACATCACGTCATGTCTGCTTGTCTACGCCCTCTCGTTGAAGAGGAATCTGGCGTTTATAGTCAGAGTTACGAAAAGACTAGTCGAAACAAGTCGAGACATGGCGAAGAACAACACGTATTGGTTCGCAGGTATCCCCCAGTTACCATTGGTCAGTGAAAACGCTCAATAATTAGTAGACTCCGCCCACATTTATCGCGGAAAGTTTCTTTCAAGTCATCGTTTTTTTCTGTGAAGTTTCAATACGATGAGGTTCTCTCAGTTCGAAGTGTGTGTGTTTGAGATGAGTATCGATCTGATGCGTTTAACAGTTGCTTATCGAGTTGTTATTGATTTTCCTCTAGAATCGCCTCTCCTCACGATGTAACCTTATATTTTCGATGTCACCATTTTTATAAGAAACTTGCCCCTTCCAGTGCCTGCTGCATATTTCGTTTTTTTTATTTGTACATTTACATTTATAACAGTTACAGTACTTGTAAGCTAGATGAGATTTTTCAATGAAATGTTTTAGAAAAGTTTTCTTTTCTTTTCGTCAGTTGTTTTCAGTCAGTGGTATCTGTCGTCGGCCAGTCAGTCATAAATCTAAGAATTTTCGGCGCTATTCAACTATTACCACACCAAAGTCTCAAATATTTTTTTCTTAAATTTTGCCCCGGGGGGGGTTAATCGTGGCCCCGAACAACATTTCGTTTTTGACGCTCGCGCGCGCCAACTTAGCGCTGGTGAAAACTTGTGTAAGAGGTCATTTGACGCCCTGATTACGATTTTGGCATTAATTCTTGCCGTTGGCGCTAATGTAAGGCGCTTTGTTAATTTGCGCTATGCTAAG